CCCCTGCCGTTCGGCCAGTAAAAATAAAAAAAAAAAAAAAAGAGAGAGAGAGAGAGAGAGAGAGAGAGAGAAGAAAAAGCGTGCTCTACACATGGCTTCAACTTTGCTAACATGGCGCGCAGAACGACCTCGATGCCAACTCCGGCACCATTCTCTTCGGCGGCATCGACTCTGCCAAATTTCTCGGCAGCCTGGCTACTCTCCCGATCAAGCCGATGCCCAACGCCGAGGGCACAAACGTCACCTCGTACGCTGTTGCCATCAAGTCCGTCTCCGCCACGGGCGTCAACGTCCCCTCGGTTGCTCCTCAGTCGGTCGGCATTCTGGACTCGGGCTCCACCATCTCCCTGGTACCCGATTCCCTTGCCAAACCCATCCAGGACAAGTTCGGTGTCATTGTGATTGAGATTCAGGGCGAGACCGCGCCCCCCATGATCGACTGTGCCTGGAAAGGCAGCAAGGGCGACGGCATCGTCATCAGCTTCGAGTTTGACAACAAGACAATCAAGGTCCCCATTGCCGACATGGCCATTGACAGCCTCCCCGAGGAAGTGCAGCAGATCCTCAAGAGCAAAGACGCACCCTCTGGCTTCAAGGACTGGACCAGCGCCTGTCTCTTCGGCCTGGGGGGCTCGTCGGCATTTGGCGTCAGGGACGACCAGTTCTACCTGCTGGGCGACACCTTCTTGCGCTCCGCCTACGTTGCCTACGACATGGCCAACCAGCAGATCGGCCTGGCCCAGTCCAACCCCAACGCCACCGGCTCGAATGTCGTTGAGATACAAAAGGATGCCAAGACCTTTCCCAACGTCCAGGGCTCCGACGGTTAGTATATAATCCCCCCGCAACCCCCCCTCGACGCAACATCCACCGCTAACACATGACCAGCGCCTGGCCCCGGAGAGAAAGCCAGCGCCTCTGGCCGTCCTGCTCCCTCCTCCGTCGCCGCCACTCTCCTCCTGGGCGTGGCTGTCGTTTTCTCGGCTTTTTTGTAAAGGCGATATTTCTAAATTTTATAATGATTATTCTTTCTTGAATTCCGTACATGTATGAATGGCTTGACCACGTAGGGGGTCGAGCTGAACGATATGGCGCTGATTTATATTGCCATTTAGAACATGGTCATTTCGATACCCTCGTTGGAGCACACGTCATTTCTAGCTGGCGTTCTCAACAAACTCATCATGACCAGATTCATAAACTACCGTGGGGGGGGGGCAGAATTACAGCTAGATTGGGTAAGCTGGCTATCGCACCCAATACTCTAATGTAGTACAGTATATTAGTTGGTGTATACTTTTTAGGCCAATGTGTCTGCTGTAGACTGTCACGTCTTGTTGTCCTCCATGTGAGAAGATGTTGGACGGAAATGGAGCCTCCCAGGGTTGAAGGGGACTGGGAAACCCCGCGGCGCAAAGCATCTCGCCCATTCCGCCACGCGGTTGTGTAAGCGCAGGTCTGATCACGCCCAAATTGTTCCCATGGCTCATGTACTGCCTCGCCCTGTAAGCCGTCCCACCATTGCTGCTTTCGACCCGGGCCTCTAGAACGCAGTCGAGGATTCTGGATGAACCGTACCGGGGGAACGGCAAACGCAGTTTCGTCAACTGCGACTGGCGCAGTGTTGAACATGTGTCGGCTAGTTTCCTTGGGTGGATGTTTTTGCGACAAGCTAGCATGAGAGCACGGCTGGGTATAACGTAGAGCGTGTTGCGGCATGCATTGAGTACAGCCAAGAGTTGATGGACCTGGCTGCCAGACATGCATAATGTAGACGGTTTAGGGCCAGGCGCTAACTAGCATTGAGAGAGTGTAGCCTAGATAGTACACATTATAAGGATTTGATTACAGCACATCTTGTATTACCATGCCGTAAATATAGCTTCTTGGTCATGACGTATAATCAGCCGAGGCGGATTAGATTGGCGCCCGACAAGGAGTAAAACAGCACGTCGGCAGGCAACGGCAGCTAGCTCGTCACACGGCAAACGACCACGGGACCTGGCTATCTGGGGTAAATTCAATAAATTGCCAAAACGTATTTTCCCTTTAACTAACCAGGGGCCTGGGGACGCCTGTATTGTATATCAGATTAAAGAGGTAGAGCGGAGGCTTGCCCACGTTCCGTATTCACCCACTCGGCCACCTTTTTCATCCGCCTTGCATAACAAGTGTACAGGACAGCTTCTACCTCGGCCCTTGACGATGCACGTTACGATGGACAAGCACTCCCGGGAGACGCGTGACATATTCTAATTCGCCTTAGATTTTATGTCATGCAACTGTAGCATCTAACTTGTGGACTCGGACTCGGGGGACTAGACAAAAACTACACAAAAACTTGGCTCTAGGAAAGTATATCAACATGCCTCACTGGGTAACCGTGCCTCCTCCCTGTCCTGGTTTATAACTTGCTCTTCTCGGCTTCGTCCGCAGCTAGTCGCACAACGCCCTATGACCCAGTTAGCTTAATTCATCCTCTCAAACGAGCATGACGCGGACTTTCCTCTTGCACACAAGTCGCCAGCAGCGTCCCGTCCTTTGCAAATATACGCTGCGTCACAAATCCACGTCCGTCGCCGGACCAGGGGCTCTCCATGTCTGCAAACATCCACTCATCCACCTTGACGCGCCCGGGCTCGTGGAAGTAAATGCTGTGGTCCAGGCTCACCATCATGCCCAGCTTGGGGCGCGTCTTCCACTCCTCGACAGTTGATCCGAGGCCTTCAAACTCAGCCAGCTCCTTGACGTGCTTTTGGTATTCCTCCGCCATGTCGTCATAGTCTTCTGGCTTAAAGGGCAGTCTCCAAAGGTGGTGAACGCGTGCTACCGTGCCGATAAAGGTGCTGTCCGAGGCATATGCCAATGCATTCAAATGTGCCTGGCGGCCGCCTGCCTCTGAAATTTTGCCACGGCACCGCATCCACTGCTGGCATCTCTGCTCATCCGGCCGGGCTGTTGGATCTGAGCCGCGTACGGCAGGCATGCGGTAGTTCTGGAAAGGCCCGCCCTTGTCCCATTCGGGCTCCTCTTGCCAGTCCAAAGGCGGAGGGGACTTGGCCTCCTCTGGCATCGGGACGGCGTGACGAACCGTCTTTTCGCCGCCCGCATCCTCACGGACGAAGCTAATGGTTGTGGTGAAGATGCAGCGCCCTCGTTGGCGCGCCTGGACGGTGCGCGTGGCGAATGAGCGGCCGTCACGGACTCGCTCAACGTGGAAGAGGATAGGGATGCTTCCGGACCCGGCCAAGATGAAGTAGCAGTGACAAGAGTGAGGGTAGAAGTCGTCGGGGACCGTCTTTTGCGCCGAGGCAAGACATTGCGCAATGACAGTTCCGCCATAGACGCCTCTTGCGCCGGGAGGGACCCAGGCCCTGCGCGTGTTTGTGAAGATGTCCTGGGGGTTGGGTCAATGGAACATTCCAAGAGAAATACGGAGCACAAGCAGAGGCATGGGAAACACGTACAGAGCCCAAGACTCCAACCTCGGTCACCTCCAAGACATTTTCGATCGGGGCCTTATTCGGATCCGCAGGCGGCGGCCTCAACAGTGTCGACCGTTCCTCGGGAGCCATAATATTCTTGCTTCTTCCTTGTGGCGTACAATCCGGAAGGGAGAGTTGGCAGCAGCTCAGCTATTCCCCAATGCAACCGTGGTGAACGGCCTCCCGCTTATGTGGGGATATAAGCGACTGGAATACGACTCCGGGGTAGAAAATCGACCAACCACTCCGAGTCTGTACACACACGGCCAGCCGAGGCAAAACGTGCGAATGGCTGTAGATGCTCTTCAGAGCACACGGCGCAGCACACAATGGCCAAATGAGTCGCTCGTTGAGAGTGAAGCAAGCCGAGAGAAGGACGGCCGAGAAGCTGATGCAGGAATTGAGAATTGAATCCTCCAGGAAGGCGCGTCACTGGTGCAGGAGCAACGTCCCCCTTCGGCCAACGTCCCACGTCTGAGCCTCGGCTAACCCACACCCGCAACTTGTTGGAGACTGGGATTAAGGTTGTCTGGTGTCACACTCCTTCCCTCCCCTCACCCTGGGAACATGGGATGCGGCGGGCCAATTGCCGCCCGTGCAATTTCTTTGCAAAAAAGTGGGGGAGCATATTTGTATTACATAACTTACCAAGAATGCGCCCGGGAATAAAAGTTACAAGATGGTTTGAAAGCACGTCCGTCCCTATGAGTGTGTTTGCGTCCAGTGGCAGCAGAAGGCTGGGCTCCTCAATACCCAAAACCACCCACTGCACAGGTGTCTTGTGATATAAGTAAACATCTCCTATTGTTGTTTATACACGGATCCTATTCATGCCACGGTGCTTCATCATTGTCATACCCATCACCGCAGCAATTCGTCACACCCGCCGTTCAATACAATTTACGAGCAAAGTCGACAGACGACACATTGTATCTTTATATTTCAAAGGGATCGAGTCCAGCTTTGCATTGCCCTTTCAAGCGAATGGATAGATTGTTCCCTGTACTCTTGACCCCGTGGTCCTCTTCGCTCCCAAAACCACAGCAAACTCCAAACATGCAATCGTGTAAAAGCCTTGCCCTTGTCTATTGATTTACATCCTCAAAGATTGGCTCTAGCCCTGCCCACGCATTTGGGTCTCCGTTTGGTCCAGCCTTTTCGCGTTGCTGCCAGTATTTGCCGTTGAACTTCCAATATGACTCCCCAGTGATCTCGCACGTTTCCTTGCTGAACCACGCCGGTACAAACTCCTCGCCCTTGGACTCACGTATTCTGCGGCGGGCTCGCTGCGCCTCTTCCAGTCGATTCTTCTCTGTAGCGGCAAGGTCGTACTCGCCGTCCTCCATGGCACGCTGATCGGGCCGGAGACGAGAGTCAGTTGGTGCTATCCATGGCCTGAGCTTGTCGTCGATATGGTTAAATGTCAGTACGAACGGCGTCAAGTTGAATGGAATGCCAGCGGGCCTCGGGTTGGCCTCCCAGATCAAGTAGGCTCGTGTTGGATCGTTCATGGCACCCTTGTGCAGAGGGCCGGAATCCTTCGGTTCGTCGATAGACGCCTCATACCCAGGCGTTAAACGAGCGTATAGCTTCGAGTTCCAACGTCCGCCCAGACTAACTCGGACATTGCCATCTGCATCCAGAACTTTGCCAGAAATCAGATACGCGCTCGACGCCTTCCATCCACGAGCCTTGAAGTCAAGGATGGCCACCTCCCCAGTCGTCCAATTCTTGATTTCCATCAGGCCATAATTGTCTACCGTCGGGTTGCCAGTGATAATGCCAATGACCGACGAGGTGACCTTCTTCCATGTGTAGAGCTCCTCCTTTCCACCGGCAGTAGGTCTCAGCTTCAGGAACCATGTGCCAAGAGGGTTGATATCAAACGATTTGCCATAAAACTTGGATTTTACGGCAGATTCGCCCCAGTATTCCCAATTTGGCGATTCGGCCCATGCGGCACCAACAGGAGGATGGTGGCTAACTTGCTCGATAAAGAAGCGGTAGTTCTTGTCCGGTCTCACGTATTCGAATGTCTCTCCGAGCAACGGGTTGAATGGCTTGGCAACACGCCCGATTGTTGATGCATACTCGCTGGCAGCAAAAGCAGCAACGTATATTAGGCGTTCAATTGAATCGGCGCGCTCCGCAGCCAAGTCCAGCAGGTCAGCATACTCCATGTCTTCACAACAGCGATAAAGCAGAGATGTGGGTTCGTTGAATGATACAGGCAACGTCATCTTTGTCATGTCCTTTCCAATCATGGATTTTAGGATGCCCTGTAAACTATTTGTTAGACTTTTGACAATCGTCAGTGGCACAGAATCACGCTTACTCACCCAAAGTGAAATCTTGGGACGATCATCGGCATCCATCTTCAGTCTGCGTCGGATGCCGTTCTCGTAACCCTTGAATGAAGGGCTAATATCAACGCCGGACACAATCACATCCTTCTGAGGCTGGACAGTCTCCCCATGTGGCATTTCAGCGACTTCGACTTCGCCGGCGTCTACTGCATCAAAGAATTCCTCTTCGTCGCCAGATTCGCTTTCTGACAGCTCACCCAGTTGGTCTAAAGCTGTCGGTCTGCGTCCAATACTTCTAGGAGGAGATTTCGCGGCTGCTTCCACTTCTTCTTGCAGAGCTTCGGTTGTGGGTGTGCCGACACCGGAAACACCGCCGGCTTCAATGACCTCACGAAGGGCCTTCTTGGTCAAGCGACGCTTCTCCTCCGCCTCGCCCATCCGTGCCTCAAGTTCTTCGTGTTCGCGAGCAACCTGCTGCATGCTGTCTTCCCACATACGGCGCAGAATTGCCTCACGATCCAAACGGTACTGCCAGTAGGCGTCTCGGTCCTTGGAAATTCGAAGCAAATCGCCAACCAGCCCCGTCAAGCTGCGAATCGCCGCATCATAGGTATACAGCGCCTGAGTTACATTCGTGTCAGACAACGGTGTGGCGGGGCTTTGAGTGAGCTGTGCCATAAGTGCCGTGTGAACTCCGGACATGGTTTCCAGCTGGATCTTTGCGGACTGGGCTGTGATGTTGAGTGCATCCTTGCTCGCTTGTGGCGCATCGCGCACGCTCCTGTCATCGCCAAAATCGTCGTCGTCGTCAATTTCGCCTGGGATGACTGGACCTCCGTTGCCCTGTATACGAGAGACGTCACCATCGGTGGCCGCATCTGCAAATTCATCGTCGTCTATACTGCCGATCGTGCTTGCTCGTGTCAAGTCAGCCTTTGGAGGCGTCATCCTATTGTGCGACGCGGTCCGGCTTGGCAGCTGTGAAGTGCTGCGTTGTAGATCTGACAGGCTAGCATTCTCACTAGGTACCTCATGGAGTGAAAGTGAGCTCTGCTCAGCCTTGGCGATTTTGAGGAGCTCTGCGCTGCGGGCTGCCTGCCTTTCTTCCTCCTTTGCCTGGTCCTTGGTCCACTGGACAGAGTTGTTGAGTGCCCAGAACCAGCGCTTGGCTTCGACCTCGTGGTTCGCCTTGAGGGTATATTTGACGGATGATTTGCCAATAATCTCAAACTTGGTCTTCTCGTCAGCGCTCATGTTCAACTTGGCAATCTTCATATTGATTGCACCTCGGCATGCGGAACCAGCATCGTCTTGGTGCTTGTAGTAGCTGAGGACCCCATCCTCAAGCACAAACCATCTCAACTGGTAGCCCTTGCGGTAATTGGTCCATTTTTTCAAATAGCCCTTCATTTCCCGGGCCTCGCGCCCAGCCATCAAGTCAGTTGCGGCAGCGCCACCAGCGCCTTGTGATGCTGCTTGGCCAAGAACGGCCTTCTCTTGGATACCTCTCTGAGCTGCAACGGCTGCAGGGGACTTTTTCAGTATAGCCTTGACATTGTCGTCATGAGTGACGGACTGCGGCAGTTTTCCCTTGCGATCACGGCGGAAAGGGTCACCACCATGAAGCAGGAGAACCTGGATCAGTTGGGTGTCTTTCTTTCGTGCTGCTTCATGAAGCAAGGTCCCACCTGTTTGCACAGTAACTGGTTCCGAGGCAAACTCAGGACTGTTGATGTCCACCACGGTCTTCAGGCGAGGCTCCTCGAGCACCTGCGCCAGAGTATCGTAGTCGCCATGGGCAATGAGCTCCTGTACCTGCTTCACCTTGGCCTCGGTGAATAGAGAACGCGATAGTTGGAGGATTTGAAAGATTTCGGGATTTCTGGCCAAGTCGAGCGGCAGCTTTCCGTGGTGGTTGGCGACTGCGTCATTGATGTCCTTCTGCTCCAACAAGAGCTTCACAACAGGCGTCCGGCCCTGGATGGCAGCGATATGCAGCGGTGTGTTGCCGTCTTTGTCCCTGGCATTCACATCAACGCTACCGGCGCTGTCCGATAGGACATATTCGATGACGGGAAACTCGGCGCACTGAATGGCGAGATGCAGAATAGTGGTGTCTTCGAGGGGACCGGTGCTGACGGTTGCCACCGAGGAAGTACTGGGTCGGGGGGCATTATCAGCTGTCTCGCGAATCGCCTTGGATATGGAGGCTGTATCGCCACTTCTCAGGGCTTCCACGACCCTGAACTTGCGAACAGACTGCTCCAGGCTGGCACCTTGGCTTGGTATGGGCGCAGGCTTGGCTGCAGCGGTGGGCGATTGTGCAGACGGTATTCTATTGAGCATGGCGGATGCGGTCGAAAGTTTCGAACTGTGTGCTCGAGTGGTCGATTGATGCGACAACGGAGTGCCAGAGGGTCTCGAGGTGGATTTTGGCGAGGCTGTACCGGCGGCGGACCGACCGTCTTCTGAGCCGGACTCGTCTTCGCGGGTTTCTCTGCGGCGAAGCAGGGAAAGAGCCGCAGAGGACTTGGATCGCTTATGCGTGCTATTCAAGGCGAAGTAGGAGGAGGAGCGCACGTCAGCAAGGAAACCAAGAATGCGCAGATTGGCTGGCCGCGGAGGATGCTGTATAGGAATGAGGTAGAGGCAGAGGTAGTTGGGGTGTTGGCGGTGGGGAGGAGCTAAAGGGGCGAGACGGCCAAGCCGAAGGAGAGCAAGTATCACGTCAAGATGCCGGCAAACGCAGGAAAAAAGACTTGCATTGCCAAAGTTGGCACGGGTTGGGCTTACCTGTCTCCCGCTTCCGACATGGCAGCGTATGTGGTGATGGTTGCGGTGGTGGTGATGATGATGAGAGAGCGACGTCAAGCCACCACAGCCCAAGGTACTGCCACCTTGAGAGGGAAGGAGCTGTGGACGAGGGGTGGCCGAGGAGGGGAGGAGACAATGAGGAGGGGGACGGGGCCTGGAAAGGCTGTTGACCCAAGATGCCAAAATGGCTCGCTCAAGTGCGAATCGAAATAGAGTTGAATGGGAGAGTTTCAAATTGCAATCAAAGGCACCGACCGTCTTGCATCCAGGAGGCAGTAGCAGGAAAATTGCAAGGAGAGCGACGTGGACGCAATTGCCGTCGCAACCCAATCATGTCGGCGGCACAAAAAACAGAGCACTCGAGGCTAGGTGGGGAACATATTCTAGCCAAGACATGAATGACATGACGTTGGCAGCCAACCAGGTATTGCTTTGTTCTGGGAGATAAACAAGAGGCAAGCTGAAGCATTCAACCGTTCAGGGCACGTGTGTCAAATAACCACACAAAAGACCATCATCGCAATGTCTATCCCTCCGCGAACCTGTCCGCCCACCTCGGTGTTTTCAATGCCCTTCTTCCCATTCCGTAACAATGGCGTGAAAGCCATGAAAGAATAGACAGCCACTCTGCTTCTTTGCCACACTTGTCTGGCCCCGTCTTTTTATTTCCAGACGATGACGCGACGACGTGAGACTCCATGCCGGCCGGCGCATGCGAGATGCGAGGCGGTGGAGTCATCCCCGAGACGGTGCGAATCAAGTATCTTAACGCTGCACTGATACAAGACCCTGATGCCACCGAAATGTTGACCTAGGGGTAGGCAAAGCAGAGAGCTCTAATATCAAAATTGAAGACTACGCAGGTACATAATGGCCCTAGTTTTCATGCCATACACACCTATATAAAGAACAAGAACAGCGACATGGATAATAAACAACTGAGCATTCCATGCTTCGTGGTCCCATATATGAGTAAAACAAAATACACATTGCAGAAAGAAACTCGTGCTTGGAAAATAGAGGCTATAGTTGACGTCTCACAGGCAGTGGTTGTCTTGTATTCGTATACAAGTCGCCAAACTTGGCCGTAGTCAAGCATCTCCGGAGATTCAGCAGGTGACCGACTAGACTCGATACTCATGAAATAACGCTGTCGGTTTGGGACACGCAGCCGCGCAAATCGACTCTTAACCTCCCAACCCGTCGACATAAATCGATTAGCCAAAGAGCAGAGAGGACATGACTTGCAAGAAATGATAGCTTCACGTTTTTGGAATGTTTGCTAACGCTCGATAACGCCAAAGATGAGCGCATCACCACCCCGGTCTTTTTGCACGATTTTGCAAGAGTTCCCAGGCTTTCATATATGCGAATGGCTAGCATAATATGTCTACATGCAACATGTAAAGCCAGCCCATGAGTCATTTAAAGAGAGAAAATAAAAGTCAGACAAGTGGTCCATTAAGAATGGCATTGAGAAGGAGTCCACGAGTCGCTTAGTCCGTAAGAAAATATAAATTGCAACACCAACTATGCGCATCTAGAATAATTGAGTATCCCATTTGCAGATATTCCCTCAACTTAAATGGCCAGAACCTGAGCGGCAACAATGGCAACGAGACCGGTCAGGCCAAGAGCCAGAGTAGAAGCACCGGCGGTCACGGGAGAGCTGGCGACGGCAGAAGGACCGACGGGGGAGCTAGTCCAGGCGTTTGTAGGAATGGCAACACCCGAACACTCAGGGCCGGTGCATCCAGAGCCGTGTTTATTAGTCCAGCTGTTGGTGGGAATAGCAACACCAGGGCACTCGGGGCCGGTGCAGCCAGATCCGGGAGCGTTGGTGGCGCCAGGGCAGCTGAGACCAGAGCAACCCTTGCTAGAAGGCTGGGGAACAACGGCCGTAGAGCGAATAGAGGTCGAGAGAGAGCTGACCTGCTGGACCTTGATGGTCTTGGTGACAACCGTCGTCTCGGTGGCGGCGGACAAGGAAGCAGGTCCCGTGGGCTTGGGGACACTGCCAGGCTCTGTCCCCTTAACAGGGCAGACAGTGGTGTACGCGGGGACAACCTCGGTGGTGATGTGGCCGACAGGGCAGTCCGTCACAGTAGGAAGGCATTTAGTGATAGTGTAAGTCTTGGTGGTATACACAGTGCTAGTGGTCATGACAGGAACCTTGGTAGTCGTAGGCTTAGGAGGATGACGAGTCTCCGTGACAGGGCAGACGGTGGTGTACACAGGAATGACCTCGGTGGTGACACGGCCGACAGGACAGTCTGTCACGGCAGGAGGGCATTCAGTGATGGTATAAGTCTTGGTGGTGTACACGGTGCTGGTGGTCATGACAGCAGCTTTAGTGGTCGTAGGCTTGGGAGGCTGAGCATTCTCCGAGACAGGGCACACTGTGGTGTAAAGAGCGATAGTCTCAGTCGTGACGTGGCCGACAGGACAGTCAGTGACGGTAGGAGGGCATTCAGTCACGGTGTGGACGGAGGTGGTGTAGACGGTGCTCGTGGTCATGGAGACGGGCTTGCTCGTAGTCTGGACAGTCCCGGTAGCGGTCGAGTTGGACCAGTGAATGGAGCTAGTCATACGAGCACTAGATGTGGTTGCAGACTTGGTAGCGGAAGCAGCCGCGATGACACTGGTAGTATCTAGCTTCTCAGAGGTTGCGGAGCTTGTGGTAGGCTTGCCAGACGGGATAGAGGTTGTCGTGACATTACCGGAATTGGTGCTGGCAGTCGTGAGCCTCTCAGAAAAGCTGCTGACTGTGGGCTTTTGAGAAGAAGCGCTGGTAGCGGTAGGCTGAGAAGACGTGGTCGAAGAAGCGGGAGTCGTCTTCACCGTCGTGCTGCTGGTTGTAGAAATGATCTTGGTCGAAGTGGACGTGGAAGAGGACGTCTTGGGAGGTTCCTGGCACACATACTGGACGGCCTCGACCGCACTCTGCAAGAAAGTCTTACCCTCGGCGTCCTCGTTGTTCATAGCCCGCGTAGCATCCCAAAGAGAGACACCACCAAAGTTCTTGTGGGTGCTGTATTTGCATACAAGATCCTTCATGTCCTTGGGAACAATGTAGCCGGAACCAGCAGAATCAGTCGAGGCAGGCAGACCGATAAACAGCTTGGCGTCCTTGCTCTTGCCCTTGGCAACGTTTGCAGCCCAGTCATCATACGAGAATTCGTCACCAGGAGTGTTGTTGGGGATAGCATCACACACGGGGTTGTTGTAGAACTGGATAAAGAGGGCGTCAAACTCGGCATTGGCAATCAACTCGTCGTTCTGGTTAAAGTTGCCGTTTCTGGTAATGACACACTCAGGGGCGGCAGTGATGAACATTTTGTGGCTCTGCTGGCGCCACCAGTTGACCATGGCAATGTAGGGCTTGTTGCCTATCGTGTTGACGTTAGGATATTTTTTCTGTGAAGGGGGCAACAGAAGATGTTGTATTCGTGGAAGTCTTACTGAATTTGGTAGACCTGTCCTCCAAGTCCAGATCGAAACCATCGATGGAAACGTGCTCGGTAGGGCTCTTATCGAAGGGTCGGGGACCCGTCCAACTGCTCTTATAAGGGCCGAAGGCATTATACAAGAACTCGGCGAACTCGACGCCCTTCTCCTCGGAAGATACATCGTAATCACTTATCCCTGGCAAAGGGGCGCCGCCAATGGCCAGCAAGACCTTGACGCCCTTGGACTGGCAGTAAGGGATGTCTCTCTGGATGAAGGTGCAAGCACTGAGCAACTTGGTGTTCTTGCCGTCCTTGATGTAGACCTCTCCGGCGCAGTTGGCACCGAAGTTACTTCCGGGATAACCATCGCCGTGCTCGGGGGAGTTGTTGATGAAGGAAACAGTGGCATAGTTGACACCAGAGTCGCAAATATCACGGAGGAAACGACCACCAGTTTGACCCTATAAGAAAATATGCAGGCATTAGCGCATTTTGCTGTGAGCGACATAGAAGGAAAATGTCTTACATACCCAGTAGGCGTTCAAAGCTGGGGCCGCACCGCCAACACCAAGACCTAATGACAAGGACATGGTGATGACTTGTTATTCGCACACAAAGAAAGATTGTAATATGGCCGAAGCCTAGTAAGGAGTGTAATGATGCTGAGATCAAGGAAAGGACGCAAACAAAATGCTTGCAAGACGGCCAAGTACCGAGCCGTTCTCTGGGACTGACAAGAGACAGAGTTGAGAGCGAGAAACAAGAGTCGAGTCGCAAGAGAGGAGGAGGGCGCTCCATTTTGTCTGCTTCACCTCATCCCCCAAGCCATGGAGGCAACTGACGGTGTGGGCTCGGGCACTTCCATTCTGGGCCGGCCGGCATAGCAGGCTCATCCTTTGGAATAGCAACGTAGAGCCAACCCATGGAGACCCATCGCCAAACGTCCCGCGGATCAACTAGCATGAAGATGTGGGGGAGGGAGTGCATGGGATACACACTCATTTCCCCAATCATCATGGTCTTGACGAGTGCCAAAGGGCCAAAGGCGAGGATTGGGTACGCCAGCATCAACTAGGGCTGACGTGAAAGGCACCATAACGTTCTGTGATATTCAGGAACAGGCTTAGTTCCGTGTGTAATTGTGGTGGCGTATTGTCAACCATTGGATCAACCCATCAACTCAGGTATAAGGACCACACCAATGCAACTAACCCTAGCCAGGGCCTCGGAGCCATTGAATGATACCATCCAGCCAGTTTGGTTGTCCATTTTACACGTCTGCAAGGCACGACTGCCACAGCGTAACATTCCTTGTGCGCTTTCCATCGTCACGGAGGACAGTCCGACTCATGGTGCGAGGCTGTAATGTACAATGTACATATAATCATACCTCCATGTAATAATACCATAATACCTCTGGTATAGCAAGCGTACTATAGGTATGTATGTTATATGTCTAAGGCCAAAGAAACAATGAGTGAGGGAGGGAGACTTGACATTTGTTGCGTACCTACCAACAAGTTGCTCAGGATAGAATGCTTCAAAAGTGCTCTTTACCGGCAATGCCTGCGTGTCATGAATGAAGCACGTCGTACCACTACCCAATCGTCAGTCCAGGATCTTCAGGCAGATGTGTGCAGGATATTGAAAATACACACGATTCACATTTGTCGAGATGGCTGTCACGACTCTCGGCGATCGGGGCTGAGGGGGCTGCAGCCGCTTGGACAGGACAGGGGAACGTTGAAGAGTCGGGGAAGAAATTTTGGCGGTTACCAGTGCAAATCCGGCAATCGCCGAAATGGTCAACTGCAGGATAGCAAGGTACCGACTCCGTCACGGTGCGTCGTGAGGCGGCGTGGTGCCTTGCGTGTGTAACTTGGGCTGTCGCCACCCCTGCCTGATAGTGTCAAGGATATGGCCTCGACCACCCGAAATGCTCCGCTCTGACTTCCCTCACCAATGCAAGTGGACGAGCATGTCGGGATCCCACTCCTCTTTGGGCTTGGCGAGCAGAAAAATCCCGCCTCGCCAGGGGCTGATTGACACTAGCGAAAAGTGGAACACAGGAATCATATCCAACTCGACCTGGCGCAATGTTGAACAGTCTTTTCCATCCCAAGGCCATTCAACCTGACACTAGTAATAAATTGTTGTAGTACGGTGTAAAGAGTTGATGGACTTGGTTGATATTTCTGGTGGGTCGGGATACTCTTGACCTTATCACAAGAAGTACTCAAACTCCAGAAACCGTATTCGCGCTTAATCGCGTCTCTGGTAATTCCAGTTCTCAGACTTCAGCTATAGCCTGCAATTTCTTTCTGCATTGGGATGAGGCTCGACTAACAAGCCAACTACCCTTTGCAAACACATATTCCCATGTCCCCACGCCCACTCTGTTCATGGAACCAATTCCGGCGGTTACCCAATTGTCAACGCCAAAGGTCCCTATCAATGAAAAAAGGCTGATATTCATCGGCATCGCCAAATGAAACCACCAAAAAGCCTCTAAAATGCTCGCGCCGCGACCCCATTGAAGCTGGACCTTCAATAGCTAAATCCCTCAATTGATGACTTTCTAGGTGACCTGTTAGATGACCTTTAAATATCTATAAAAAGGGCCTGTTTTCCGTACCTAGATAGCTTCAATCCCAAGGACAGTTCCACTCTTTAATCACTTCCATAGCTATTAACTTGATACCAATTCGTGGATTTCGTCGGGCGCAGAATGCCCTTGACACCTTCCTACTCATGTCGTGCTGACGACCCGGGGATGTCGCATTACCATTGCCGTTGGTAATTTCATACGGAGTGCTGCGGTTGCCAATAGAACACATGGAAAAGAGAAAACCAAAAGGTGATGCCGGGTTTGGGTCATGTATGTAGTTGTAGTACCATAAGTCTCCATATTATACCCTCCGGTTGAGTGAGAGCCCAAGCCGTTGCTCCTACGTGGCTAAGGGAAACCAAGAAGTCGGTTAATCTCCACATAAACCACAGGATATCCACCATCAACTGAGCTTATTACGCGTGCCAAGTCAGCCGGCTCTGCAATCGCTGCCACCCACATTGAGCCTTGCCTCTTCCAAACAGAATTTGATGTGCCCCAGCCGTGGTATTGTCTTGGTGAGTGGAGCGAGTGGAGGTTCTTCTCACAGACCTTTCTTCAGCAATATTGTCGGAACATGCTCTGTAGGCTCTGGGATGTTGGACTGATTTCAAGCGGGGCGGACGGCGTCGTGCATGATTCAGTGTTGGAATCGTGCGAGTTAATTTCATGCCTAGCCCATTCATCGTCAGCGATGCGGCTCAAGGCTTGATGATGTTGTCGTTCTTGTGTCGGCTTTTTTTTTCTTCTTCACGTTTCATGTGAAGAGCGATAGGGCGCTCGCTCTAATGTGGTCAAACTCGCACTCGGCATTGTCATATCCAAGGATTTTTGGAATTCGCTTTTTGAACCATGTGTCTGCTAGGAGACGGGTAGATACCATGGCATGCAATTATTAATCATGCAGCACACAAGGAAGGGGCTGCCCGTAGATGCAGCCTCAAGACTTATACGGTGTCAATTGGAAGTGCAAGGAAGGAGCGATGATGGGCTTCAAAATTTCTGAAGACTTGAAGGCACCTCTTCCTTATTTTCGCAAGCCCTAACAGCGGCTGTCCCTGTGACCCTTAGGAAATACATGAGAACTCGTTTCCACTCCATGAGTCTTGCCCATCGCGAAGGTGCCACGCCCTGGATTGGATGTTGGTGATCTACTTCATTTAGGGTAGGTCCATGTTTAAGGCGACTATACTCCGTAGCGTCGACGTCTTTTCATCGTTGATTACCCGTTGACAACTAACGTGGTAAGTGGCTGGCCCACTTAGTTGTCAACGGATACCTAACATTGAAGTACATACGTATGGTCGGGGTGTGTGGCTCTTGTTTTTTCTCTTCTTTTCTCTTTTCTTGTTTTTCTTGTTCCCTTCTTGTTTGAATAAGATGAGAAAAAAAAGCAATAATAATCATCAAACTGTAAAACCCAACACCAGAATACGGAATGGACAAGACATGCTGTTTGTTGCGCTCGACGAAATTCTCATCAAACTCGATACGATTGACATTCATACTACATGTGCCGTTTATCCACACAGAAGGCGCTACACGTTGACACATGTATATTTAACTAATGCAAGAGAGATTTTCGTCCCAACAAAACATCTCAGACGAGCACCTGCGCGCGCCGGCAAGTATCTCGATCTTTCATTAGGCCCCGTGTTGTGGGACTGCCGATGTGACAGATTACTACACAAGACTTGGGTCTTTTTCATCAACTGTCCATGGGAAATAAAACAGCACCTAACTGCAAGACGGTATATATACAAGTGGGACATGGTGCTTGGATGTGCATCCTGCACTGGAGTTGTTGCTTCCGTTATTAGATAGTCCCTCGCTTGCAATACTCTCACTTTGGCAACGGCCGACGTGAGACCTATCTCGAGCCGGGAGCCGCAAAGCGTGAAGGACATGCATTTCGAACGTGCGTCTTGCATCTTGCGTCTTGCAGCACGGCAGAGTCACTGCAGGTCTGACAAATGGTGAGCTTTTGACAAAAAGCATATAACAACGATCTGCATCCCGCATTAGAGTATCATAGCTCCTGCATTATGCAGCAGCTAAAAAGAGCATTGAAATATGATTTACTACTTGACCAGTGCTGGAACCATCACCGTGACATTTCTCGCCCGTTGGACAAAGCCTCGACCCCCAGATGACCTTGTGCATAACAAAGGAGGAGCAAGATGTCTAGGAGACCATGAATGGCCGCAGAAAATGAATGTTGCTGGAGCCACCGTCATGTCTTCTTTGTCGTCTTGAGCTTTTTGCTGTTTACCTGAGCCCCCCATGTTTACATGCGGACAGCCCACATATCAGAGACAGAGTCTCATTCCATCCATGGCCCCACGAAAGGCTAGCCGAGGGTGCCACGACGGGATGGCCGATCTCCGATGAGATTTACTGACACAGCTCGTAAAAAAAAGAGAAAACGGCTAGAGAGAGGTATGTGGTTCTGTCCGAATGGCTTGAAACGAGTCGCGGCAGTTCCCTACAGAAGTCAACAAGATGAGGAGTTAGCGGGGTAATGTGGATGACCTATCCGTGGAGAAACAATACACAAAGTCTCTATCTGCAAATGCTTTACTCATCAATAACGTCCCGTTGCTACGCTATACGCATGTTGATGGTGGACCGTCTCGTGCCTGCACTGCCGTTGCTTGCCAGATGAAAAGCCAAGTCCTGAGCTCCGCAAGCGGCAGGTTGCGAGCAGCAGCTCGGCCGGAGGCGAAAGTGTCAGAGAAGACAACCGGCGGCTTCACCCAGCTCACTTGCCACCAGTTCTTGAGCATTTCGTAGCATATTGGACGAGTTGGCGATTCGCACGACATGGTTCTGGCGCCTCGATCTGTGCTTGTGCTGCATGTCTCAGCCCCCCACACAAATCCCGCCCAAAAGAGTTGACACAATAGCTACGTCCTTCCCCGTACCGATCGGCTGGGAGGTCTAGCAAAGATGGAAGATGGGATGGCCCCTGTCAGCAGGAAATTGCTCTTCTTGGCTCCATTCTAAAGATGATGCGCTGGTAAGTACTCCGTATTGAAGGACGTATTTTGACAAACCTGAGTCGAGGGCGAAGGCCCACCATCACAACTGAACAAGCACCGGATGAACGAGATGGCAGAGTCATGTCGGAGGGCTCCCTGTGGCCAGATAGAAGCTTGAAAAATTGAGCAAAAATTCCAGTCACAGTGACGAGTCGAATTCGTGCATCGGAAATAGCTTTTAGCTATGCGCGGGAGAAAAGTTTCCCCTCGCCAGGTGCATACACGCGCAGTTCTTTTTATGCATAGCGGAGCTATTGTGCACCCTGCATCCCAGAATGGAACCTCCTTGCATCTTTGTGCAATCCTATTGGCCGAGCATAAGCCCAAGGGAATATTATTATACAATGGTAGGCAATACAGGAGAGCGTTGGCAAGGCCAGCAAAAACAATACGTGTCGACCCTTACCTCCTCGCGGCACAGGGAACCGACTCAATGTGCGAACCCTTTCGTCGGGGCGTGCCAACTACCCGAAGGGTTGGATGTCTACACGTGCGCTATGTAACAAGGAAGGCCAAAAAAAAAAAAAAGTGTTGCACCATGCAAGAACATCCGACGACAACCCCATGCAGTATGTGTCCCCGGGGTCATGATGCAGCATCGCCAACCCAGCTATGTGGCAAACACCACCACAGCCACTGCTGGAAACCCAGATAGCGCC